CCACATACCACTGATTCACCTTACAGTCACGAAAACCTCAACTCTCCAATATGTAGTATCATTAAATGATGGCTTTCCCTTCACATACTTAATGGATTTATTAAGCCAAGTCTAAGGTTTCTTTTTCCTGTGGAACCCCATCTTGTTAGGTTTTAACCTGTTAATTTATCTTGTCTAGCTCAAGTTGAATCTTGACTGCCATGCAATATATTTCTCCTGTATCTTCTTTATTAATATGTTACCAGTAAATATGACGCCAGAATACTCGTGCTAATCCTGAAGAAGACAAATACAGCAACCCAGTATAGACCAGGGCAGTTTTGTAATCCTTCTAATAGGACAGATATAAAAGTAATTTTTTTTTCAACATTTATTTATTTTTGGGACAGAGAGAGACAGAGCATGAACGGGGGAGGGGCAGAGAGAGAGGGAGACACAGAATCGGAAACAGGCTCCAGGCTCTGAGCCATCAGCCCAGAGCCTGACGCGGGGCTCGAACTCACGGACCGCGAGATCGTGACCTGGCTGAAGTAGGACGCTTAACCGACTGTGCCACCCAGGCGCCCCTAAAAGTAATTTTAAAATTACTTTCATGGATATTACATGTTGATGTAGAAAATGTAAACAGGTGCAGTACTGGGAAGACAGGTCTAAGTAAAACAATCTAGAAGGGAGTTTGGAGTAGCACTGGGCAGGGAAAGAAGGTAGGTAAGAGAATAGCAAAGATAAACCTTCATTTTGCCTAATGTCAAAAAGAAGATCTATGAAAGGCCTCAGGTTTTTATTTTAGTCCACAATTTCAGTTCCAGTTAAAAATGATTCAGCAGGTAGTTTCATATTTGGGGTTTAAAATTTTTCATTTCACTTCAAATGAACACGGGAGAATTATAAACTCAAGTTTAGAATACTGAATATCTTAGGTAAATAGCATACAGAAGGCTTCAACTGCTTTGGGTGATGTTTTTTCTCTTGAATGAGGGTTGGGTTCACAGAAGTTGATTATAGTATTCTTGACACTTTCATAATCTGAAATATTTCATAACTAAAACAGTTTAGTAGAAATATATTCAGATTCTATGTTAAGCATAGTAGTTTAGTTCCATTTCTTAACTCGTTTAAGCCGTTAATAATCAACTAATCATTATGGAAGTGGCTCAGCCTGTAGCACTGAAGTTCTATATAATTCTAAGTTTAGCAGATAGGCCAAGTTTATCACTATGTTCACTCTAACTGTATAATTATATTGATAAAAATAAGTTCTCAATTATAAGAACTATAGTAAACTGCATTAACACTGTACAATGAACTCTTCTTATGACAGGAATTTTATAGTATTTAAATCTCTGATTTTCCAAATAATGTATTAAAAAATTTCTATTGACAACACTTTTTGGAAAACATTCAGATTCTGGAAAAAAACAAAAAACAAAAAGAAAAACTTGAGCATATTATCAAGAAGATAAGCATGCATTATTCATGTTACAATTTCTTAAATGGGAACAGAAAAGCCAGATGATTTAACTGGCATTTCTGAGAAAATACCAGTATACCACATACTACATAAAAACCTTATACAGTGATTCTGCTTTGAAACATAGGTCCCTCCTATGAATTATCAAATCCTATGTTTCTGTTACGGCACTTAACATATGAGAGTAACAAAAAAAATTTACCCTTTCCCTCCCCTGCCGAAAATATACATACCCCACACACTTGAAAACTGAGACCGTTTGGATCTGGCAATTTCTCAAAACATTGAACAGATTTACCATATGATCCAGTAGTTCCAATTCTGGATATGTACCCAAGAGAGGTGAAAGCAGGGATTTGAAAAGATATTTATACAATCCATGTCTGTAGAAGCATTATTCACTATAGTTAGCAGGTGAAAAGAACCGAAGTGACCATTGGCAGATGAATGGATAAACAAAATGTGGTATATACAAACAATAGAATATTAGTCTACTTTAAAAGAAATCGTGACATGCTACCACATTGGCTGAACCTTGACATTAATGCTAATAAGTGAAATAAGCGAGTCACAAAAGGACAAATATTGTATGATCCCACTTATATGAGGTACTTGGTAGTCAGAAAGAACGGTGGTTTCCAGGGGCTGGCAAGAAGGGGAAATGGAGAATTAGTGTTTAATGGGTACAGTTTCAGTTGGGGAAGATGAAAAGTTTTGTAGATGGATGGTAAAGACGGTTGCACAACAATGTGACTATACTTAATGCCATTGAACTGTACACCTAAAAATGGTTAAAATGATAAATTTTGTTGCATGTATTTCACCACAATAAAATAAATCAGCTGAGTAAATTTGTAAAATAAGCATAGTGGCTAAGCAACTAAGGTAAAAAGCAAAATATCTTCCAAGGATGAGACCTGATTGACAGTATTACCATTAATGAAAGAATGTTCCACATCAAAGATTTTTCAACAAAAAAAGCTCTTTAAAAAGGAAGAAAGCAAATGATAGCGTATTTTTAGCACAATCCAACCCATGAAGCATGTAAGACAGGTGATTCAAATGGAAACATGCATCGGGCCTGAAACATTAACCATTAGAAGCACCAAACTCATTTCTATTGCATTCATTCCATATTTACCAAACAATCTGATTGTAATTTGATTCTGCTTTCATTGTAATTTGCTCAATACAGAGAAGGTAGGACCAGCAAGCTTAGGTAACCTAGCTCCATCATTACATTTCTCATACATTAACACATTAGTGTTATGGTTTTTACAATTTCTTAGCAGATGGAGCATGGGACTCAGCACCCCAGAGTCCAGTCACTTCCAGATCTGATAAACCAATTTCAAGCCTAGAAGACAATGAGATGTTGAAACCCAGTAATCACACCCAGGTCCTGCTAGGCTGTGGATACATCTGTGGCAAGCTACACCACCTTCTCCCAGCAACTTCCCACTCTCAATGCGTACAATAATGCTGTATTGTAATTACATCATTAGACTCAGTTCCTTGAAGATAGGGAGTGAATCTTATCTTTTATCCCCAACAACTAATAAAGTTCCCAGCTGAAAGGGAAGAACCCAATAAATACATGGTAAATGAAAATAAAATCCTATTTAGTGATACATAATTAGGAAATGAATATTGTAAAGGTTCTTCTGTATGTAATTTTCCTCAAAAGCTTACAAATGAAAACTTGGGCAATAGCATTGACAAAATAGCATGTTTCGATTCAGTTGGAACTCTGGATTCAAGTGGAAGTTACAGTAGTTAGGTCATATTTTGTTGAGAATGTCCACCAGTGGCATTCAAACTATGAAATGATCTGTATGGAAGCTCAGATCTCAGAGAGCATAAATGCCTTTCCACCAATAATTTTTCCTCTAGTACAATAAAGAAGATGGAAAATGTGTACCTTCACTTGCCAAATATGTGGTATTAGTATAAGTGCCTTTTCTTTCTGCTACTCACATGAAATCAATCAAAGGAAGAATAAAATTCCTTCCTACTGTGTCCTAGAGCTCTGCTGTTTCACATAATGCAGCATTAAGACTCAACACTAGCCAAAAGTTCCTGGATGAGAATCTACCAGTGATTCCAACACATACAAAAGGGATAACTCCTGACACATTCTTGCACAGGAGGGCATTGAGACACACTTGCTGAACATAATTCAAATTGCAAAAAAATGCCAGATGTGAAAGTTTTTATGTTCAGACTAGATTTCAGCATATAAAATAACCTCTAACAAATCATTTGCAATTAGGATAACTAATTTTTCTTCACCTTTTGGTCTTAATTTTTCTTTTTTCCTTTTTGTGGGTCAGCCACATATACTAGAGAAAATATGGGTTATTTTTTCTTCTAGAAATTAAGGAAACAAGTTTCCAGAACCATATGGCCTAACTTCTTAGCTTTGCATTTACTAGCTGTGTGACCCGCAAATCATCAAATTCTCATCTATAAAATAAGGACAGTAGCTACCTCACCGGATTGTAGTGAGGATTAAATAATCTGCAACACTGCCTGGTACAACAAAAGTGCCACTTTATTGTTAATTAGCTGCTATTACCATAAGTGAAATTTTTGAAAGCATCAGTTCCACCTAAAAAAAAAAAACCTCAATAACATTCTGGTAATTATGAATATATATATTTGTGTCTTATTGCTAGACTCTAACTGTGACTTCCCAACCATGATTCACTTCTTTTATACCAAGAGCTTCTTGCCATTCAAGATGCAGATATACGTGACAGCCTATCGAACCTTGCATATATGAAGTCCTTGCTTAGTGAAACTTAAGGTCTAGCAGGGAAGAAGAGAGGCTTTGGGGATAAATCTATTCATACAAATGACAACAAGTTCACATACCAATAATACTAATTAAAAAAAAAAACTGAAAAAGGTCCAAGAATATGAGTACATATTACTCTGAAGTCTGCATACATAGTAAGCAAAACCCATCCAATGCATTGCGAAAATAGGATAATTTTTTAATGTTAAGTGAATATGTACCATCTCCTCCTCCTCTTTTTAATCACAAAAACGGACTAGCCCCACACCTTTTACTCCAAAAAGCGGGAGTAACGGTTTAGACTATCCGATCAGAAGCGCTTCCGTTCCCTCGGAACCTTGTACAATCAAGTCCTTGGTGTCGTCCCTACTTTCCACTCTGCTTCTGAAAGTACTAGCTGTTTCAGGCCACAACTTTTAGATTTGATGATAGTTCCTCTAAAATGGAATGACGAATAATCTCCATCCTTTTCTCACAGTGGCGTCCAAATTCCAGCCAAAGACAAACAAAATTGTCTTTTAGTGTAGCGTAGTGTTTAGAACTTAATGTTGTGTAGTCAGACAAATCTGCGTTCGGCCTCCGCTAGATCGGTCATTAGCCGTGTGATGTTGTAAAAGTCTTGTTACTACAAATCTAAGGGAAGCGCGTGAGTACACGCACTGAATCTTGGACAAAGACAGCATTTATACTTTTTTTTTTTTTAACTGAATTAAGTGTAACGCCCTCTAGGTTTATAGCAGCTAGTCCTGGAGACGAGACGCGGGACTGTGTTGATGACATCACTTCCGGGGCGACAAGGTCTGTCTCTGCCTCCTGCAATAACGCAGCGACTGACTTTGCTAGGGAAAGGACACCTCTACTAGCTACTGTCATTCACGAGGAAGGTGGGTGAAATTGCTCACCCCTCTCTTACTGGTTCTTTCGTGTGCCTGGAAGAACGATTCCAGTAGAAGCCCTTCGCCTTCCTACAACAGAGATTGGTACTGGCCAAGTTCCCTGGGTTCACTTGGGAGTCTTCTTGGCCCAAAGACAAATGCTCAGCACAGGCAGCCTTGCGTGGGTTTTGTGACTGCAAAGTTCTCCAGGTGTGTCTTTCTGTGCTACATTCCCCCCCTCTGCAAGGTTTTTCATCACTCTCATCCCTGGATGCCGTTTGCCCCAGTGGAACAATAAAAATTCCAATATTCTCTCATTTACCCATTTTGTCCATTAGTGTGTAGGGAAAGGACCTCCTTAAGCATCCAGAAAGTTCTAGGACAGATGATTTAGAGTCATGAAACTAGATACTTGGAAGTGTGAAGATACCAGGGTGCTTTAGTGATGGACTGCTTTTATGTGAGGAGGGAAAAGGGATTTGGGGGAGATCCTTATTATGATAAACTTGTGGTAAAATGGAGATTGAGTTAGAGAAATTGAAATTAATGGATAAAATGGGTATTAGGTTGCAGTTGTTTTAGATAAGAAGTGGTTCTTTTAAGATGAGCTTCATAAGAACACTTGTTTCCAAAGTAGATGACTAAAATGTGTGTCTTTAATGTGAATTCTTGTTTTCAAACTAAATTATCAATTTTTATTTTGAAAGATATTTTCAGGAAATAGAATGCATTTATTTTTATTTGTTCTGTCTTGCCTTTATTATTTTTTAAAACCAATTCTATCTTAGTTAATAGCTATCAAACAATAAATAGCACTTTTCAGATAACTATCCATGCGACTATTAGCTGTTTTATAAAGAATAATGAACAGTTTGCTAAGAACAGCGTGATAGTAATACTAAAAAATTTCATATCTGACTTCCCTGTTTTCCCCCTTAAAGAACATTATATTCATTCCTACTGTCATTGATATTAATGGGTTGCTACAGCCTTTAAAAATTTTTGCTAACTTTTCCAAAACTTTCCTATAATTTTACAAAATTATTATATTGAAAAATAAATCAAGTTTTTTAGAATTTTGCTTACCTAAATGGGTTAGTGGTCAATGTCCATTCCCAATAATTGTTTCTTCATTTCTTTTCCAGGAATTATCTATAGAGTAAGTATGCTAATATTGAATAAGGCAGCAGGAGTTTTTTCTAAACCATCAAGAAGGGAAATTTATGAATTTTTAAGAAGTTTTAATTTTCGTCCTGGAAAAGTATTTCTTCATAAACTAGTATTGGGGATTGAAACCAGTTGTGATGATACGGCAGCTGCTGTGGTGGATGAAACTGGAAATGTTTTGGGAGAAGCAATACATTCCCAAACTGAAGTTCATTTAAAGTAAGTAGACATTATCTTTGTAGTTCCCAATTTTGGGGGCCCCCCCGCCCCAAGTAAAATAAAATAATTCTTTTCTAAAAGCTCAGTATATATAAAAGCTCAGTTTTAAGAGCTCATTTCTTTTGTGTGAAAACTTCTAATAACTGCTGTAGAAAACCTGAAGCCCTTCAACCTGGTTTCTAAGGCTCTCCACAATAAAGTCCAACTTTAGCTAATCCTGTTGCCAAAAAAACCTAAACTCATTCCCAACTCCGATATTTATCCATAATTTCTCCTCAGTAATTTCTCTTCTTTTGCTCACCTGTATGTTTCTTGGTCTCGACTGAAGTCCTTGGAGAGTATGACCCTACCTCTAACCTGTGTTGATCACTGGAAAAAAAAAATTCCTATTCACATGTATACATAAAACTCATGTTGACACTTAAATAAATAATATACTGCTGTATTAAACCACAGAATGGTGCAAGGTTTATAAACTCATCTGTTTGCAGAGGACCACTAGTTGGGTTATATAGATAAGTGGGCTGGATATAAAGTGGAAGATATCTGGAGGGCGTCACTACTCAGCTCCAGCCAATTGTTGCCATGCAGAAATGTAGGCCCTGTGTTATTTGATCATCAGAATTTTCTAGAGAAAATGGAAATCCAGAATGTAACTGTAATATCTCCAGATTTTTAAAATTAGTAGCTAGCTTGAACTATATTAAAATACTGAACAGATAAAATATGCCTTCAGGCCACCAATTTATAACATCTGCATAGTGAAAAAGGTTGGTATTTTGAGATCACAGACCTGTATTTGAATTATGAATTAGGCGCTTGGTATTGGCTCTGATTTTAGGCAAGTTCCTTACCCTCTCTGATTATGTTTTCATATCTGTAAAATGGGAAAGATAATGCTTCTCTTACAGGATTGTGGGGAGCATAATAGAAATAATACACGTGAAGAGACAGAATAGGCCTCTAAGAGTTACACACTATGTAAAAGGGACTGCAGCAGGCAATAATAAGGCGTGGTGAAGTACTAGAAAGTCCTTACCTTCAAGGAGCCTCACCTAATCTCATCATATATAGACCTGAAAGGAAACATACAACATACAGTACAAGACAGCATAAAGTATGAAACCAGTGCAAACAGTAAGTGTTACTACCATGCCCCAGTTCCATGGTTCTTTCAGTATTTCCAAGAGTTCTGGACATTTGAACGTGGAAATGTTAACTGCACAGAAAGGCCTCTCCTAACCACTTTATCTAAATTAAGTACTCCTACCATGTTTATTGCATGTTATCTCACCCTGCTTATCTTCTTCATCATCCTTTTGATAATTTTTACATTTGTTTACTTATGTATACTCTTTCCCCCAATAGACTCTAAGTTCTATGATGACAGGGGCTGTGTCTGTATTAATCACTATACCATGCCTTGATACCCAGAGTAGCATCTGATATGTTGCATCTGATATTAGTGGCCTTGAAAAATAGGCCTTCAATGAATGGAGATGAAAAAAATATTGTTGTACGAGTAAGCATCATAGTGAAGGCAAAGAGGTGAGAAAATACCGGACATTCAGTTTAGTTAGTGCATAGGTTACTTGAGAGGAATACACAGGCAAGCAAACTATGGTACCATCTGCACAGCTCATCTCTGCATTTATTGAAATCCTACAGTTTCCTGGCAACATTTGGCTCCAGCTTTGAGGCCAGATGGTTTTCCTGCCTCTTTGTTAGCTTTTTGGTCATTCAATTACCTACTCTCCGTACTGTGTACAAATTAATTCTTTTGAGAATAAAGCCATGGTCTTATTGTCTCTGGTCCTTAGCTAGCATAATCCTTTGAAGGTAAAATATATAGAAGATGCCCAGAAAGGAAGGGAGGTAAGCAAGTGGGAGAAGGAAGAAAGAAGTGGGAGGGAGAGGATTTGCACTTAAAGTCACCTAAATTTCAATAAAGTAAACACTTTTGAGTAGGAGAGTTATGGGGTCAGCATTGTGCTTTATTTTCTGGTAATACAATATAGAATAGACTCCAAGGATCAGAAAATCTGTCTGGGGGAACTGCAGTTAGTAGACTTTGAATAGACTGAGATAATGAGAGTTTTTGAACTTGGGAATGGTGATATATTTAATGTGGACAGTGAGATAAAGGAGATAAAGATGAAACCTGAAACCCAAGTGATTAGGAGGTTTGATGCCATTAACAGAGTTGAAGAATATAAGAGAAAAAGTAGCTCTGAAGAACCGAGGCAAATATGGGGCGCCTGAGTGGCTCAGTCGGTTAAGTGTCTGACTCTTGATTTTGGCTCAGGTTATGATCTCAGAGTTCATGAGTTTGAGCCCCATGTCCGGCTCTGCACTGACAGCATGGAGTTTGCTTGGGATTCTCTCTCTCCCTCTCTCCCTGCCTCTATCTCTCTCTAACAAAGTAAATAAACTTAAAAACAAACAAACTAAAAACAACCAGCAAAAAAAAAAAAAAAAATTAAAGAAAATAGTATTACTATGTGGATGTGTTGAAATAAGATGGTTTCTTTTGTTTCCCTCATTACCTGACACAATACATATTATAACTGTTTAAGTAAATTAAAAAAAATTTTTTTTAACGTTTATTCATTTTTGGGAGACAGAGAGAGACAGAGCATGAGGGGGAGGGGCAGAGAGAGGGGAAGACACAGAATCTGAAGCAGGCTCCAGGCTCTGAGCTGTCAGCACAGAGCCAGACGCAGGGCTTGAACTCATAGACCACGAAATCATGACCTGAGCTGAAGTCAGATGCTTAACTGACTGAGCCACCCAGGCATCTCAGTTAAATAAATATTAATTGAATGTTCTTACTGATGATTTTCTTTCTTTTTTTTTTTAGTTTATTTATTTTAAGAGAAAGTGTGCACATGCAAGAGAGAGTGGGGGAGGGGCAGAGAGAGAATCCCAAGCAAGCAAGCTGACAGCAAGAGAATCTGTCAGCACAGAGCCCGATGCAGCGCTTGAACCCATGAACCATGAGATCATGACCTGAGCCAAAACCAAGAGTCAGACACTTACCTGACTGAGCCACCCAGGCACCCTAGGATTTTCACTTCTATGTCTAGAACTAGCAGCATCAAATATTCAAATATTTTTTTGAGGTTAGAGGTATATTTTGTAGACCCTATATTTTATTGCTCTGCCTTTATGATTGTAAGTCAGTCTCATTCTGGCAAACTTTTTCTAGCAACTACTTATTTACTCTTGACATTTGGAGTGGCTATCCACTGTTTGTCCTACATAGACCAAAAATCAAAACGAACAGCTCTAAGCACTAGATTCCCACACTGTATTTCAAGGTTGCAAGTTGTCTACTGTCCTGCCGTGACCTTAATCAAGTGCAACATGTTTAAAAATAAACTCACCTTCTTTACAAAACTGTCTTCATGTTTCTCTCTGTTAGTATTTCTTTTCTCCCAGTCATTCCAGCTGAATATCTGAATCATCTTGGATGCCTTGGTCCCCTTTCCCCTTATATCCAGTCTAACTTAACAGTTTTCAGGGCTCTCTTCCCCATTCTTTCACTTCCCATGATCACATAGTATAAGATGTAATCATCTTACACAAATACTTTTATAATAACCTTAAAAAAAAATCTCCCTGTCTTCAGAGAGATAATTTTTCTAAAATCCAATTTTATCCTGGCCTTTTCTTGTTCAAGACATCTTCATTAGAATGCTTCTTAAGATTATTTTGGTGATTCCGTATATTAACAAATCCATAGGAATTTGTTGTGTACAATTTTTTTTAATTTTTTTTTAACGTTTATTTATTTTTGAGACAGAGAGAGACAGAGCATGAATGGGGGAGGGTCACAGAGAGAGAATCACAGAATCTGAAACAGGCTCCAGGCTTTGAGCTGTCAGCACAGAGCCTGACGCGGGGCTCGAATTCACGGACCGCGAGATCATGACCTGAGCCGAAGTCGGCTACTTAACCGACTGAGCCACCCAGGCGCCCCTGTTGTGTACAATTTCGAAGTCAGAGACATTACACCCTTAATCCCTGCATATTGAATTCTTATATTGTGTTGCATTATAAGGCACACATATTTGAATGTATGACTAACATTTTTAGCTATATAATGATTAATTTGAAAACATGCCTTCAGCCCTAATACAAAACTTTTCTTAGTCTATTTTCACAATCTTAAAATTACAAAAAGCTGTTTGTTTGTTTTTTCCCCAGAACAGGTGGAATTGTTCCTCCAGTAGCTCAACAGCTTCACAGAGAAAATATTCAACGAATAGTGCAAGAAGCTCTCTCTACCAGTAAAGTCTCTCCAAGTGAACTCTCAGCAATTGCAACTACCGTCAAACCAGGACTTGCTTTAAGCTTGGGCGTAGGCTTATCATTTAGCTTACAACTGGTAGACCAATTAAAGAAACCCTTTATTCCCATTCATCATATGGAGGCTCATGCACTTACTATTAGGTTATTAAATAAAGTAGAATTTCCCTTTTTAGTTCTTTTGATTTCTGGAGGTCATTGTCTATTGGCATTAGTTAGAGGAGTTTCAGATTTTCTGCTTCTGGGAAAATCTTTGGACATAGCACCAGGTGACATGCTTGACAAGGTAATCATTAAAGAATTAATTTCTCTTTTCTGTTATGGTGTCTGTTTCAATCAGATATTAAGAGATGCACTACACTACCATTTATCTAAATATTTCTGATAAACATATTAGACTGAAAAAAATTTATATGCAATAAGAAAAAAAGAAAAAGAGTAGTACATAGTTTTATAAAAGATTCTTACCCATTATTCATAAAATGATAAGAGGTTTAAATTAGTACATAAAGGCTCAAATAGTTTGCAGATGCAGTTATGTTTTTAATCAAAAAAGACGTGAAAGAAATTGCCAAGTACTATAAAAATGTGAAATAAGATATATAAAGATAACATAAAGACATTAAAGATGCACAAAGTTTTGTGATTAAACATCACAGTTGTTGACACCACTACCAAGCAGGTTTCTTTTTTCTTTGTTTCTGAATTGTACAGAGCCTACTGCTATATGCAAAAATCCTGCTGCCAACAGCAGAAATGATTAGAAGAAATGGGCAGGTTCTAATATTTGAAGTTTGTCATTAAGCAGTCATTGTGAACTTCAAACTTATTTTTTATCCCCAATAGAAGAGCAAGAGTAGATAGGGAAGCAGTGATTGGCCACTATTGATAAGGTTGTCAGGAGTAAGTCTGTGTTTACTGGCTTGCTAGCTATAGTCCATATTTGTACAAGTATAGCATGTCTTCTTCATCCAGTTTTGTTTTGTTTTGTTTTAGTAAATTTCATTTCCTTTGTACCTTGGTTTCAAAATGTGCCATTTTATGACTCATTACAAAATTTTTGTTTGTTTTTGAAAGGTAGCAAGAAGACTTTCTTTGATAAAACATCCCGAGTGCTCTACCATGAGTGGTGGGAAAGCTATAGAACATTTGGCCAAACAAGGAAATAAACTGCATTTTGATTTCAAACCTCCCATGCAACGAGCTAAAAATTGTGATTTTTCTTTTACTGGACTTCAACATGTTATTGATAAGATAATAACACAAAAGGAAAAAGAGGAAGGTATATTTCTAATTTGTAGAGTTGGAAAAATAAGTAATCCTGGATTGTGCCTAAAAACACCTATTCGTTTCTGCAGGGATCCAGAAGGGGCAAATCCTGTCTTCGGCTGCACACATTGCTGCGGCAGTACAGCACACAACAGCGTGCCACATTGCAAAAAGAACACATCGTGCCATTCTGTTTTGCAAGCAGAGAGATTTGTTATCTCAAAGTAATGCAGTGCTGGTAAGTTTTGTTATGGCCTCTAACAATAACAGTAACACTTTATAGTATGTTATTTTTCTTCTAGGAACTTAATTGATCCTGTGCATAGAATATGATATCTTTATGTCCTATGCTAGCCCTGACAGAATGAAATTATGCAGAATAAATACTAACAGCCATTTCTCATACAGCTTCTATGTCAGCTTTATGGGACATCTTTACAGACTGTGTGGCAAAAAACTCCAAGGCTGCCTCTTATTGAATTTAAAAGTGGGTTTGCAATAAGAAATGAAATACAGTAACTGTTACTGTTATTTTAGAAAAATAAGCTAGTTTCCTTGAAATTTATGTTCCTTTGATGAAATCCATTTAAATCTGCATGTAAGCCTTGGTAAACTTCCTGTTTAACTGTATCTTAAACTTCATCCTTTTGAAACTTATAAAATGAGAAAATATTTAAATGATGGTAGATTCACAAAATAGAATATTATGTGAATATCAAAGGTAATAGCTTTTTAAGAATAATATAAAATGAAAAAAATGCTTATAAGTAAAAACAACAGGGTCTAACATATTGTTGTACTATGATTATAATTAGAAAAATGTTAGAAGAATATATATAAAAATAATAGTGATGCTGGTATTGAAATTATTTTCCTTTCTTCCAAATTTTTATCATATAGCTATATCACTTGCCTGTTCCCCACCTATCAAAATGTAATATTTTCTTATTGTATAATGCTTGTATTTTCCCCAGGTTTAGCTAACAGTTTGGCTCATATCCTTATGTAGTATTTGTTGATTTGGGTCTTCTCAATTCCTTCAGGTTGTATCTGGAGGTGTTGCAAGTAACCTATATATCCGAAAAGCTCTGGAAATTGTAACAAATGCAACACAATGCACTTTGTTATGTCCTCCTCCCAGACTGTGCACTGACAATGGCATTATGATTGCATGGTAAGCCACAGGATATATGTGCTTCACTCATAATTATGTAAATATTAATTTCTATTTCATCATGTTAAGTCTTCTTCCTTTAAACCCTGGTCTATTTATTTTATTTTGATGATTCTTATTTAGGAATGGTATTGAAAGATTGCGTGCTGGCTTGGGCATTTTACACAACACAGAAGGCATCCGCTATGAACCAAAGTATGTAGTACCGTTTATAATCTCTATGCAAGTTGCAGTATAAAATTCAAAGCCTTTTATATATGAGGTTTTCATCAATATTCTGGTGGTACCTGAATAAAGATTATATTATTTCATGAAATTTCTTCTTAATAAATATTTTTGCTACAGTATCAAATCATAAACATTTTGACAAATCATAGGTTAAAAATAGGTGGGTGGGTAGGGATGATGAATACCCTCATTTACTAGCAGAATGGAAACCATGTCCATGGCCTGGACTTTTGCAATATCAAAGCAATCTCAGGACCAGCTGGTATGCTGGGAAACTTCAGAAAAATGTGTAAAAAGCAGTCAGGTCTGAGACTGGGTTGTGAGTATGCTCCTCCACAGGCAGCTGAA